TGTATCTGTGAATTTTGTATTCTACTCTGTTGACGAACGTGAACTAAATGATAAATAACACCAGCATTGAAAATGATCATCAATATGAATGGTGCAATATTGTATATGCCGAGATTAATATTATCCCAAAGCGGATAAATCACATACAAAGCTGCGTTAAGACTGATTTTGCCATTAGGTTTCACAAAGCATGCGAACATGAAAAAAATGTAAATTGAATAGAAAACATACGCCGAGGCAACTTCCAATCAAGATAGATACACTTTTCGGACGACTAAACCATGTACGATGAAGTCGACTGACCGACATGTATCGATCGATACACACGCAAACACGAATCCACGCCGATGCTTGAGGAGCAAAATAATTGATGAATGATAAAAGTTTACAAGGAAAAATGCCAGAACGTATGAAAACAAAGCCGTGTATTGTTGAAAAGTAATGATCACAATTCCAACCATAAAGCATCAGGATATCCAAAATAGCTATAGTACGCATGTAATATACGACGGGTCGTTTCTTTCCATCGCTGAATGTCGATCGGAAAAGCATGATGAATGTAATGAAATTGAATATCGTACCGACGATCATCAGTACCAAAGCATAGTAGGCGAAAATAACTGCTGCCATAGTGTCAAACTTGATTCGATTATGTTCTAAAATAGTTTATCAAATCAGTAAATCAGTAAGGGGGGAAAGATTTGACGATTCAATGTCGCTATGAAACGAAATATATCCGTATTATGGAGATCAAGTACCTTGGCAAGTACCCGTATTTTATAAGATACATCATGATTACTTGAAGAAGTAATTAATGAAACTACACTTGCATAAGAGTTAGCTATTCAGTATGTCTGATAAACCTTTCAGCAGCCTTCATCACAATTAAATGAATGAAGGAAAAAAATGAGATTTTACTGACTTGTCCGAACTATTTTATATGCTTCAGAGAAAGAAAATGATAAGAATAATCAAACGGACTTTTAAGCGTGAAAACAGAGCATTGTGATGTTTCGCCAAATTTTAAAATAGTGAAAACATGCATGAAAAAAGACTATGTTACCATACAAAGTTTTCTTGCAGATTATTTAATCAGACAGGTTCATCTAACGTGACAATTTCGTTACTAGGATATACACTTGGAAATATACCCGTCATCGTTGTCAGGTATTGTTAAGCGATAAAACATCATATATGCTCCTGCTTTTCATATCGAATGGATCCGTACTCATCTTTGGTAGACCACAATACATCGATCCATGTGATCGTCGATAAATTTGAGATCTGGAAATAGCACTGATCATCGATTGCAGAAAGAAATCTTGAGACATTTGTCGCTAGCATTAATTGACAGTGACATATTTTTGCTATTCATTCCTGAAATATGTTTTGACACTCTATAATTTATATTTGAAAGAAAAAAAAAGTCTTTGCAAAAAGTCTCGAAACAAAAAAATTAATGCGTAAACATTCTAAAAGAAAAACAAATTATAATATAATATTTAGTTTATCTTTCATAATGAATCGATTTGACATGCAAAAAAATATCTGAAGCAGGGATGCCACCTTACGAAATCTGAAAAGCGGAAAAAAGCGGAAAAGGTGGCATCCCTGGTATAACTACTTTTTGATTCTAATTAAACATTATTACTCTGTTACTTTCAAAAATCTGGAACTATATTAACGTTTTATAAGTCATTCTACATAATTTCTTTTCAAAGTTACTGATAGATTGAACTATTTCAAAACCGATTATTTCTAAGTCGAATCTTTAAAGGCCGGTTTATCAAGAACTATGACCTCCATACTGAGAATTTTATAAGTAAATATTCAGTTCCGTTAAATTCTAAGTTACAATTATGATAAACTCGATCTTCAGCTATTTCTAATAAATACAATCGTCCAAGCAATAATACATATCGAGCAACATTATATCGATCAACATATTTCAAAAGTTCTGTAAGACAATAATTAAGTATTCGAATAGATTCTTGAGGTTTTGTAAAATTACATTATTATAAGAGTAAAAGACAAAAATAAGTTAAATTTCATAAACAGAAATCTGGTTTAATAATCTATACTTTGTTTAATTGTACTTCATATAAACGACAAAGAATCGAATAATGTTGAAGATTATATTTAACACATAGTTGTTTACATTCTTCAAGAAATCCAAGACTTAGTACAAGATCATTTTTCTTTGCACAATTTTCAGTTAATAATAATAAAAGTCTTCAAAAGTAAAATAAATCAATTAATTAAAAATTCTATTTTAAAATGGTTTTACTTTATTCTTGATATAAGATCAGATACTTTTCTAGATTTAATAATTTTTGTAATTCTATTGGATCTCGTTGACTATCATCAAGTTCATTTAAATTATGTAAACATATTGCTCGGCTAATTATGAACAAGTAAATCTTCTTATAAAATATAAATTTATCTTACCGTATTTCATATTCAACTTGTGAATAATTCGAAAATGTTTTAGCTGTAATTAATGCTCTATCGCATTCATTTCGTCGGCATTGAAGTACAACTTGTATATCAGCTCGAGCCATATCAATTAAATTATGTGCATTTGTTGACAGTTGTACTAAATCAATACTCTTATTTAACATTTGACTTGAAAGATTGTATTGTCCCTTTTTTTTTAATGAAAACCTGTAAAAAAATTAGGTATGCCTTTTAAAAGTTTTACTAGATTTAGTATAGCCATTGATAGATATGAACATGCTAAAGCATAATATTCTGTATGACGAAAATGTAAATGTTCACTGTTATCAAGAGCCATTGCTGAATAGAGTAAAACAAAATCACTAAATAAAAGAATTTGTTTATGCATGTTAGTTCTTTTCTTGAAGAGCTTTAGTTTTTCTTTTACTTGTATTGTGCTAAATTCCAAAAAGCTGTTTTATTTAAATAATGTATAGCAGCACGATTAATCCAATTAAAACGTGATTTAATATCAGTTCGTTCAAAATTTATATCGGTTCGTTGTCTGGAAAAAATTATTATTTTTTGTCTGATTTAAAAAATAATAAATACAAATAAAAACATGCAATACGGTTGGAAGGTTTCCTCGACTTATAAATTGCACTGAAGGCCAACTTTCAACACATACGCAATCGTCCTATTCAATACAATGCATTTCGTTATTCTTGATGTTTTTATTTTTGTTAAATAAATTTTACTGTAGTTAATAGTTCAACCGATGAATTATCAAGTTGTTTCAAATATCGATTATCAAGTAGTAAAAGACTATCAACTTTTTGTGACGTATTTAATATTGAAGCGATTAATTGATCCTATGGATAATAAATTTTACTTAGAAAATGACATTAAAATCATGGTAGTACTAAAGATAATCAATTCTATCTTATGATCAATAAGAAATACATAGAAAAAAACGGTTAGCCTGTTTATTTTGCACTTTGTCGCAGATTAAAATATAGATCCGCAGAGAAACATTTCTGTTCTGCAACAAAAGAAGATTCGATAAAATTGAAACACGTTTTTGTTATACTGACAAGGGAA